TGGGAGCTCAAAGGAAAGATTAAGTTGTTGTAGAAAAGTAAACAATTCTTATGTCTTATCTACCTGACTCAGATCTACAACAGCTACCACATGAATACTGGGATTTGCCAATGTTTAGCTCCTAGAGTCTTACTTAAGACACTTGTACTAACAACCCATTTCCTTTGGGTGAAGTGGGAGAGGGATGAGTAGAAGGAAACATTCAGAACATGTACAGCTATAATTGTCAAACTTTGCCATGTATTGGACTCACCTGGGGAGTTTTTAAAAATGCAGATGCCCAGGCAAAACATCCTGAGCTAATAAATCAGAATCCCTGGGAGGCGATGCAGTGTCCCTATTCCTTAAAGTTCCCCAGGTGGGCTCACTGTGCAGCAAGTTTGAGAACCAGTGATTTTGTTTTTAAATTTTTTATTTATTTTTGAGAGAGAGACAGACAGACAGAGCACTAGTGGGGGAGGGGCAGAGAGAGAGAGAGGGAGACACAAAATCTGAAGCAGGCTCCAGGCTCTGAGCTGTCCACACAGAGCCTGATGGGGGGCTCAAACTCGTAAACGAGATCATGATCTGAACTGAAATTGGAAGCTTAACCGACTGAGCCAGTGATTTTAAAGTGGTACCAGTGTGCACACAGATTAGCTAGAGATCTTGATTAAATGCAGATTCTGATCTAGGAGGTTGGGGCGCAGCCTGAGAGCCTACATTTCTAACCTGCTCCCACTCTAAGTAGCAAGGAGGTAAAGACCTCTATTACATGCCAGTGTTTTACTTCTGATTACCAGGAAATTAGAAGTTGTGCTGTAAAGGGGTAGGCTCTGGAGTCAGACTGCCTGGCTTTGAATCTTGGCTCTGCACTTGATTGCACTTCAGTGTCTTTATCTGTAAACCAAGGATGACAACAGCGTCTACCAATGTTAGCAACCATAGTAGTAGTATGAGAAATGTATCATTAATCTTAATTCACAGATGAGGACGTTGAAATTCAAAGAGTATCAGTACTTTACCCAAGCTCACCTTGCTAGTAATTGGCAGACAGAAGTTGGACCCCCCAGTCTTTTCCCACTATATCCTGCAGCTTTAAGGGTCTGGATTGAAATTAGCCCATTATCCTCCTGTCTTCACTGTTTCTGATCACGTGACCATTGATGTTCTGGTCGGAGAGTGCGTTCCTGAGTCACCTCCGACTCCACTCCCCTTCCCTTTAGTAAACAGCTGTGCCAGCTGAAGCTTCAGAGGTCATACCTGCTCCCCCTGCTCTATTCCCACAGTGTTACTCAAATTCAGCTTTCTAGGGTCTCTCACCCTGAACTTCGGTGGAAATAGCTTTATGTTCTTTTTCATTAGCACTGCTTCTCCAATCGGCATCCCTACACTGAAATCTTTTGCAATTAATTAATTAATCCAAATTAATCCACCATGGGACTTCCCCTTTCATAAATCAGCAACGATTCTCCATTATTTGCCAGATAAAACCCAGCCTTCATCACCTGCTTTTCCATGATCTGGCCCTGACCACTTTTGTTTTTAAATTTTTTTTAATGTTTATTTATTTTTGATAGAGCACGCGCGCGCGCGAACACACACACACACACACACACACACACACACACACACACGCAGGCGCGCGCGGGAGCAGGGGACAGGCAGGGAGAGAGGGAGACACAGAATCCGAAGGAGGCTCTGCACTGTCAGCACAGAGCCCTACTCGAGGCTCTAACTCACAAACTGTAAGATCATGACCTGAGCCAAAGTAGGACACTCAACCGACTGAACCACCCAAGTGTCCCATGACCACTTTTTTTTTTCCCTATAATGCCTTCTCCATCTTTTCTCCCCACCACGTGCTCCAGGAGGTCACCTCTCCTCTTCAGAACTCCCCTGCACCCAACACACTTTTTGCAAACAGTAGCCATCCAATAACCAAATGACTGAATGAATGGCTGCAGTTTTGAATACTAAGCCCCAAGGGTCTGGGGCCCACTCTCAGGAATGTCCCTAGAGCCAGTGTCCTCAACCACAGCATTTTGGCTGTTGTGAAGTGTGTTATATATAACTAATGAGTTCCTATTAATAAAGTACAACATTTTCAAATGATTTCCTTCTGATAACCAGAGTGGATTCAAGATGTCCCTATGACACCCTTGCTTATTTGCAATGTTATGATTTTTAAAGCATAAGAGAACAGGGTGTGATAGAGTTAGTGCACTGAAAATTGCATGAAACCTGCAATTTTATATATGCCACAGTGTTTAATGAGCTATTGTTACTGATATTTTTAAATGAAGGGCAGTGGGTTTTTAATTTTTTTTTAATGTTTTATTTATTTTTGAGAGAGAGACAGAGACAGAGTGTGAGCAGGGGAGGGGCAGAGAGAGAGGGAGACACAGAACCTGAAGCAGGTTCCAGGCTCCGAGCTGTCAGCACAGAGCCTGATGCGGGGCTCGAACTCACGAACTACGAGATGATGACCTGAGCCAAAGTTAGACACTTACCTGACTGAGCCACCCACAGTGTTTTTGAAAAGTAAGTTAGCAATATTTTTTCCTTGAAAAATGATATTTGAGATTTTTGAAATAGTTAACTTCATTGTTCACATGCTTGCAGAATACCTTTTAAAAAAAATTTTTTTAATGTTTATTTATTTTTGAGAGATAGACAGAGCATGAGTGAGGGAGGGGCAGAGAGAGAGGGAGACACAGAATCCGAAGCTTAACCAACTGAGTCACGCAGGTGCCCCAAGTACTACTCCTTCCCTTCTCCCCCCACCTCAAAAAAAAATCTAGCACTATTTCCTTTAATCTAAGATTCATGTGGAGGGGCGCAGGCATGGAACTCTCATTTGTGTGAGGCAGTGGAGGCCAAATTCTAGAGCTGCACTGTTCAACACAGTAGTCATTAGCCATGTGGCAATTGAGCATCTGAAATGTGACTTGTCTGAATTGCAATGGGCTATAAAAATATACGTTGGCTTTGAAAGACAGTATCAAATATAAAGAACGTAAAATATCTTAATATTTTATATTGATTACCTGTTGAAATAATTATACCTTGGCTTTATCAGGTTAAATAAAATATAATATTAAAATTCATTTCACTTGTTTCTGTTTCTCTCTCTCAATTTGGCTACTAGAAAGTTTAAAAATACGCATGTGGTTTACATGTGTGGCTCGTCTTACATTCCTATTGGAAAGCACTGCTGTAGGATACTTAAGACACATCTGGGAGTCCTATTTAAAATGCGGATTGCCAGGACCAGTCCTCTATGGAAGCCAGTTCAACTCTGTATTTTTCAGCGGAGATCAGCAGGAGCTACATAAAGTAATGACTGTACTTCTTTACTTTCTTGCTGTTTTTCCCACTACCAACCACCTGATTCTCTTTGTATGTCTCCGTTGCAATTACCAAGAAAGAGGAAGAGTCTGGTTTAGATATTCATAACTGATCCTTTGTAATCAGAGCTTTTGTATCAGGCTAACTCATAGGTATCTGACCTATGGACTGTCTGTCCACACTTCAGTCAAGTGTCCGTCTCTAGGCCAATCAGTTGTGGCTGGTGGGGAGGGTGGAGGAGGCAAGGGTCAGGTTAATCAGAGGACAGGAATGACCTGGAACCTCTCCTCTCAGCTTGTTTTACACAGGACTGTAGGAATGCCCAGCACAGACTGGCCTGGCCAGCAGTGCATTAATTCAGAAATTAAAAGAACACGTTGCATATTCAAAGGCCCTGTGAGCACTAGAGCCAAGGATTGATTATTTCCTGAACTACCGTTTGGACACAATTCCAGCCAAGCCACTCTACAAATAACAATGACGATAGATCCATTCTCAAAAATATTTCAGTCACCCACATTTCAGTCATAACAGCGAGCTGGCCAGAGTAAACAATAAATTTAGGTGACGAGAGAGAGAATACAGAGGCAGATGAGGCAATATATGGAAGAAAACCAAGCAATCATAGTTCCAATCCCAAAGATGCCATCACATCGCCATAAGGCGAGACACCTTAACCCCTTCTGCTTCCGGTTTGTCACCTTTTCAGGGTACAAAGTGACAGGGATTAAGAAGGTTAGATGGAATGATAGATGTAATGATGCTTTTTGAAGGTAGAAGAGTGCACAAATGTTATATTTACAGGTATGAGTTGTCTGTGAACTATACGTTTCCTAATGAAGGAGTAACCCCACAATAAATCTTACCCAGTGAATACCCCCTGTAGGCAGACCATCTGGTTGGATTTCTTCAACCTTGTTAAAACATTGGAAATGTTAACTCTCAGCTCTCACAATTAGCCCTTACCTGCAGCTATAGCCTCATCAGAATATGCCTTCAGGAATCTCAATACATCAAACCCTGCCATCAGGCCAGCAGCCTGCCATGAACCACACAGTATGCATTTGAGAGAAATACAATCAGTCCTGTGGCTAAGGACAATGGCCAACTTAATCTGATGGTAGCCTTTTCCAACACCTGTCAGAATACTCCAGACTTACAACATGTTCTAATAATGCCCTACCACAGCATTTCTGTTTAAATAATCCAAATGGCAAGAAAAAGTGTAAAAGAAAATTTTAGCTATCATGTTTGCAGCCCGGATTAATTTCCATGCACTATCTTGGGAAAAACAAGATACAATTTCCTTCATCTTATTCCCCATGTCCTTTTTCCACAAGGTAAATTGACCCACACACACCCCCCCACCCCCCGCCAAGGGCTCAACTTTACAGAGAACCAATTTCAGAATACTGCGGATGTTTTCCTTTTCCTGTTCCTTTATGGAGTCTGACACATCTACCAAACCGACAGTAGGAGAAAAGGGTTTGCCAAGTATTTGCACAATTGATTAGAGACACAGGAATTTCCGCGGTTGTGAAAAAGGAGCTCTGCGTCTTTAAGGCTCCGCGGAGCTCTCGCTCTCTGCTCGACGCAGACAGACCAGCTTTGCCGCAGCGACTCATCCTATCGATAAGGTTCACTTAGCCAAGGTGGAGGATGGGAAAAGAATGGAGCTGTCCCAGCTACTCAATGAGATCAGGGCAAACTATGAAAAGCTCCTCACGAGAAATCAGATAGAGACCGTGCTCTCAACAAGGATCCAGGTAATGATTTCATACAGACAGGCACCTTCCAGGATAAGGAGACAATCCATGTCTATCCAATTCCTGTCCCGGCCTCTCTGAGGTACAGTATTTCCTTTTCAATGCAGCGTCTACTGGGGAAGGAATTTAGGTTTTACTGCAATGTGACTGGACTACAGGGGGAAACGCTCTAATTAGACTATTAAGTGACCATTCAATGAATGTCAATTGATGCATTTGATTTTTGTATCAATTAGGAGGTTACTATCATTAACGAAACATGGGGCCAACATACAATAAAATGGGGCACTCTAACCTCTTTTAGACATCCTTCAGCAAGGAAGTATTTCAAATACCCTTCGAAGATATTACGGAGTTATTTATAGAGATTGTTTAAATAACATCTTTAATATGGCAAGCTTTCTAGTAAGATTTATTAGCTTGCATACTTTATAGAAATAAAACTAAGTAAAATATTTCTGAAAGGTTTCCATCATCGTTTTAATGAGCTCAGTTTTATACCAGATTGTTATAAATAGAAATTACCTAAATATGTGAACATGGCATTCAGAAGCAGTGGTATAAATCGAGACAAATCGAAATTCCCCACATTGATAATGACTCCCCACTTATACAGTTTTGCTTGTGTACTACAAGATGAGAAATGTTTATTTCCAATAACATTGTCCAAGTTATTGGACAAGCCATGAACTATTTAAGCACTGAAAAAAAAGAGAAAGCCAAGTTAAATAAGGGCTCTCAATTTCATAGACTTACTTTGCTTTAAAGTGACAATCACATTTAGCAACTCATGAATACCTCAAATGTTTAAATAAATGCACAAATAAATAATTTAGAAACAAAAATTTACAAATTCAGGATTTGGGGGTTTTTGTTTGTTTGTTCATTTCGTTTACCTACCATATCTGAGTTCAAGTTCTAGTCCAGGCACCCAAATATGGCAAAGAGTGAACTTAAGAACCTCACTGAAAGGGAAAAAATATTTCCAGGAAATCATAGGGCTTTATTTCATTAGCAGTTCATTTTTGGTAACAATATAAATTGCACCTCAGGGTAATATTCTCAGTCTTCACAAAGAATGATCAGTATCCTAAATCAAGCAAAGTCACTGGAATATTTAAGTACTGGAATAGTTCACTCACCTTTTGCAAAGAGAAGGGAAAAAATTAATAGATGACAATTTCTGAAAATTATAGATCAAAGAAACTATTTTGCAATGGTACCAATACAAGTTATCTAGTTTGTAAGTCATGATGCCAAAATGAGTAAATTAAAGTAAAAGGGAAAAGTTGCAGTAACTTGTTTCGAGTCTTCTTAACGTCAGTCTACTTTAGAGGATTTCTTTCAAGGAATTCAGAAATTCAGAGAAGCCTGATTAATTATTATAAAATAAAGAAACATAAGCTTTTGGTGATTCATTGTTGTAGAATAAACTACCCCAGAATTCAGTGGATTAAAACAATGGCATTGTCTCTCATGATTCTGTGGGTTGACTGGGTTCAGTGGGGGTGATTCTTCTGCTACAACATGTGACGTTGGCTGAGACTATAATCATCGTGGAGCACAATTGGGCTAGGACATCCAAGGTGGCTCACTCATGTGTCTGGAACCTCGGCAGGGGGTTTTGGGAAGGCTGGCTCAGCTGAGACCATTGGGTTTGTTTCTCCCTCTCCATCTGGCCTGTGCGTGATCTCTCCAGCAGCGTATCCAGACTTCTTAACGTGCTGGCCCAGAACTCCCAAAAGCACAGGAGTGCAAGCTTCCAGGGCTTTCTAAGGTTTAAGGCTAGAATGGGCACTTCTGCCACATTCTACTGGCTAAAGCAAGACACAGGTCTGCCCAGATTCAGTTTGGAAGGGGACCACACGAGGACATGAATTTGGGGAGGTGTGGTTCAGTGGAGGCCATCTTTGGACTCCAGCTGCCACGCGAACATAGCTGCCAGTTTCATACACAATCCAAAAGACCGGCAGACACGAGCATTGTTATGCTCTCCTATTTCCTAAGTTCTTGACGTTCTGTTTTGTAATTGCTCTGGTATGTATTGCTGCTTGACTTTGCCAACATAGCGCTAAGAGCAAGTGATACAACAAACCTAAAGAAATGTATGAATTTTGTTCTTTAATGCCTTGCCCTGAAGTTTGTAAACGTTCATTTACTACAATGTTTGCTTTAAAAAATAGCTATTGTGTCATCAAATTAAAATTTTTTATTTCAAAATGCATTTTGATAAAAACATTAAAAAGTTATTTTTGCTTTAAAAATTATACAATCAATTCCTTCCATTGCTCCTGCTGCTTTTGGGGCCAAATGTTGAGAATTCTGTCAAAAGATACTTTCATTTGATTTGAACATCAGCATAAGAACATTTAAAGCCAAATACAACATATTCCATTTATTATTTAATATGTCGACATTTAGAAAACAATCTTTAAAGATGTCATTTTTGCTACTTCCCTAGATACCCAAGATCAACATGCTTTCCAAAAAGATCATTTGAAAAGGGTAAATCACCAGTGGGTTCTCTTTATACGGAAGTCTATTTTAGAGCTTCTAATGCCTATGATAACTTAATTCTCTAAATTATTCATAATATACTTTCCAGCAGTGTTTAATCCCCGTCCATACACCCAGTCCCAGAATTGATTGGTTTAGAGTATATGGCTGTTTATCTGCTTTTACAAAGCAGCCTACAAGAAAATATGGGGCGAAATAATAGCTGAGTTTCAATCCTTCTTCCTGAATAATGCCATAAATAATAGAACGTTCAGAATCAGAGGTCTCAAGCTTAGATACTGCAAGCTGTTACTTTTCATTAAAATAGATGTATTTTTCTCTGCATTTCCTAGACTGTCATAGTAGGAAGAGACTTCTAAGGTTCATCTTATACCTGAGAAAACTAAAGCTCAGCATGCAATCCACTCACTCCCATACCTGATTAATTAGTAACTAAGCACTGGAACACACATTTGAAATTTAACAGGTTAAAGAAAAAATGAGACACCTATGTTATGTTTTTAGGATTTACTTTTAAAGGTCTCATTTTCAAGAGTGCTCTTTGTGTCTGTTGTTCTTGGTGGTGGTGGCTTTCTTAAAGCTAGAAGAAGATATGAGCAAAAAAATGGACAAAGACGAAGAGGCTCTAAAAGCAGCTCAAGCAGAACTCAAGGAAGCTCGACGCCAGTGGCACCACCTGCAAGTGGAAATTGAATCTCTCCAGGCGGTGGTGAGAGTCATCTTGATCTTAAAAGTGACCGGCCCACTCAGTCCCCAGGCATTTGCTGATTAAGAGAGAGAAAGGAATAATGCCTATTAACTTCCAGTGAGAAACTGAAAATCAAGGCCACTGAAATCTATCCCTGGTGCTAGTTCGACTACCCTGCTCCGTCCATCGTGGCCACGGCTATTAGCAAGTCACTCGAGGTTTAGTTCACGCCTATAAAAAGGAAGTAATCCTTGCTTATCATCCTGGGGTTCTCTAATTTCTAGCATGGGAGAACATAGCGTTTTTCGTTACCCAAAGTTGTAACTGTGGGGAGTCTTCTATCTACACCCCTGTGACTTGTAATAGTAAAAAAATATTTAAACGCTTTCCTAACGTGCCTTTAAAAGCAGCCTGCTCTGCTTTGACATATGATATTCTACATTTTCAATTTTTAAAAATCAAAAAATCAGAGTGATAAGTCAGTTACATTGTAGATTTTTTTGTTGTTGTTTTAAGAATTATCACAGGATTCCTTTGAAATAGTATGCTCTCTAGCTATGATTTTTGTCATTTGAGTCATACACAATGTTGTAAGGAAACATCTCTTGCATAAGTGATATACTACGATTGCAAACCTTTAAGAAAGAACACAATCGAATGAAGGCATTACACATCACATTCAGAAACACATTTTGTTGCACTGATTCACTGATGACAATCTGTATAAAACAGGAAAGGGGCCTTGAGAACTCCCTACATGCCAGCGAGCAGCATTACCAGATGCAGTTGCAAGACTTAGAAGCTGTGATCGAAGGACTAGAAAAAGAGCTACAGGAAGTAAGGCGCGGCATCGAAAAGCAGCTTCAAGAGCACGAGATGCTTCTCAACACAAAGATGAGGCTAGAACAAGAAATCGCCACTTATCGCCGCCTCCTAGAAAAGGAAGAAATCAGGTACCTAATTCCATATACAGTACTTAATGACAAGTGGCCAGAAATACAGAGTCACTTACATCTTTGTTGAGGTAGTTAGAAATCACATCTAAAACCCCAACATCCAGGGCACCTGCATGGCTCAGGTGGTTAAGGTGGGACTCTTGATTTTGGCTTAGGTCATGCCCTGCATCAGGCTCTGCACTGACAGTGTGGAGCCTGCTTGAGATTCTCTCTCCCTCTCTCTCTCTCTGCCCTTCCCCTGCTCCCTCTCTCTCTCAAAAGTAAATAAATATTTTTTTTAAGTTCATTAAAAAAAAACAAAAAACCAACATCACCACAGCATGCTCACTGAGTTCCTAAACAAAATAGGATTAAGTAGGCAGAGCAAAGAATATGTGGAGGAACTATTTTCAGCCTCCCAAAATTATGAACAGAATGGCCAAAGTCGGGTACATTAGCTACAACAAGGAGCGTGTCAAGCCTAGAACAAACTGTAAATAATTCTCAGTTGCTACAAAAATGACCTTTCTTAACTTCCTCATTTTCCTTGCCATTCATCTCTTTTAGAATTAGTCACTGTCTTCCATGGACCACCCACAAAGAAAGCTTGGAAAATTCACCTATGACCACATCTCCCCACCCAAGGCCCACTCCCATCACACATCAAAAGCCAAAATTAATAATGATAATAATAATAATTAATAATAATAATAAAACAGGATTATGTTACAGCCATAAGAAGTTTAGTTCTGAGCACATGTTTTGAAAGTCTTCCAGATGTCCTGATAACAAAAGGTATCAAAATATCACAAGAGAAATTCTTACTAATTTACAGTTTCATAATCTGTAATCACGTATAAGGTCACATGGCTCTGAACACAGCACAACCTCCAATTTTCCGTGTTCCCGTGGAAAGAAACTTTCATTCTTGCTTGCTTCAGAATTCTTAGTCCTCTACAAAATTAGAGGAAACTACTTTAACCTATAAGTCTTGACATTTATTAAGTGCCTTGACATTTATTAAAGCTTTGAAAAACACAAAGTGAATTCCAAATCTACCGCTTACTAACTGAGAGACACGAGGCAAGTTACTGAACCTCTCTGTGCCTCGGGTTTTTTCATCCATAAAATGGGAATAATATTACCTACCTCATAGGGTTCCCTTGTGGATTAAATAGATTAATGTTTGTATAGTGCTTAAAAGAGTGCTATATAAACATATACACACACATATAATTTGTTATTAAAATAAATGGTGGTGGATTTTATTAAATGCCTGATCATTCAAGATGATGATAAAGTGGTCTTTAAACCCGTATTCCTTTAATCCAACTTAAAACATTTTCGTTATGCTATATTTAAGATACATGAGAAAGCATCAAGAAGAATCTCACAAACCTCACGTACACACTTCCCCCAGCTCAAGAAATGAAACGTATACAGTATTGTTGCGATCTCTCCACCCCGACCCTAGACACCTAAAGCACATCCCCCCATCTTCTTCTTCTCCCTCAGTCTAACCTGGATCCTGAATTTGATGCTTCTCAGTCTCACACATTCCTTTATACTAATATGTAGATATGTATCCCTAAGCAAAAAGTGAAGATATTTTGCATGTTATTTTATTATTATTATCTTTTTAATGTTTATTTCTTTGAGAGAGAGAGAGAATGCAAGTGGGGAAGGGGCAGAGAGAGAGGGACACAAGATCTGAAACAGGCTCCAGGCTCTGAACTGTCAGCACAGAACCTGACACAGGGCTCAAACTCACAAACTGTGAGATCATAACCTGGGCCGAAGTCAGACACTTAACCAACTGAGCTACCCAGGTGCCCCGTGTGTTATTTTAACCTTTATAAAATTACCTACAAATTACCTCCCCCCACCCCCACTCAATGTTATACTTGGGAGATTCATCCATAAAGGTACAGTGTACCCTGGGGCGCCTTGGTGGCTCAGTTGGTTAAGCGTCCAACTTGGGCCTAGGTCATGAGCTTGCCATTCCCGAGTTCGAGGTGTACATTGGGCTCTGTGCTGACAGCTCAGAGCCTGGAGCCTGCTTCAGATTCTGTGTCTCCCTCTCTCTGCCCCTTCCCCATCACGCTCTGTCTCTCTGTCTCTGCTTTCTCTCAAAAATAAATAAACATTTTTAAAAATTTAAAAAAAGATACCGTGTACTTTTAGTTCATTTATTTTCACTGCTAAGTAGTATTTCCATTGTATGAATATACTACAATTTATCCATTCTCTTATTGGCGAGCATTTGTTTCAATTAAAGGCTAATATGGTCTTGCTTCTATAATATGATTCTTTCCAATTTCAGATATTATGGTTGTATCCAAGGTGAGAAAAAAGAACAAAAACCTACGACAAGTAGAGTTGGTTTTGTTTTACCTTCAGGTGAGTTTCTGATGTAAGTAAATGACTTGAAAAGTAAAACGTCATTTATAGGGATTATAAATAAATACTGTACAGTAGCAAAAACAAGCAATGTTTGAGTAAACTTTGACACAGAAATTGACTGACTAGTATTACAACATTGTGATTGAATATTTCATGTTAATGTTTACACAGCCATTATAAATGAAATATCTTTCTCAACCAAACTCCCACAAAAGTATGAGAACGAAAAAGTGGAAACAGTGACCAAACAAGCAATACTGAATGGGAATGTTGTGAAGGAAAGCACAGAGGCTCGTGGCACAATTCAGTAAGTAAAATAATTTTGACTAAGAAACAATAATAAACACACGCAAAGAAATTAACTTCACTTGTGTAGTCTCGGTGATCTTTGCATGTTTCCAAACATAATTTTAATATGCTGTGATTTTTTTAGATCCGACATGACTAGATATATATAAACAAAAACCCAGAGGAAGGAGTACTCAACCCTTAATTCACCATTATTCTAAAATTATAACCAAAACATGTGAATTGCATAGAATTCCTTGGAAATTATATTCATTTGATTTTTAAAGTATGTAAATTATAAATTTCACTATGTCAATTGTGAGTTATAATCCAAAATGTGTCAGTTATGAACTATGCAAATTTCTTGATTTCTTTTTCATATGGAATACATATTAGGTATTTTTAATAGATTCATCCTTCTTTATATGGAAAGGTTTATTTTATCATTTCAGGACAGAGAAAGTGGATGAAGTTATTAAGGAATGGGAAGGCTCCTTCTTTAAAGACAACCCTCGATTAAGGAAAAAATCTGTTTCTCTTCGTTTTGACCTTCATTTAGCAGCCACTGATGAAGGGTGTTTACAGACTAAGCAGGATAATCTACCAGATATAGAAGTCAGGCTTATCATGAGAAGATCATGTAGTATCCCCTCTATCAAACCTCCATCCGGAGCTAATTAATCCAAAGACAATATTTGACTTGATTTGAAAATGACATTAGGGTGGACCAAGGGTAGGCCATAGGGTAGGCCATACTGATCACCCTCTGTCCCAATTATTAAGTATGTATGTTATGATCAATGTGCAATTCTCTTCAGAAAACAAACAGTAAGGAACAAAATTTCTCTGAATCTAATTATGGATGTATTCTTTGAAGAGGGGGAGCTTAAAAATAAAATCAGAAATTCAGTATGGTTTCTATTTTATTTACTCCACATAGTCTTCTCTTTTTTCCTTGAAATGTTATCGGAGACTGTAAGCGTTAAGCTGGCTTAAATCTTTGAAATTTCACTCAACTGGCCAAAAATTCTAGGGAAAAAGAACAGTTTGTTTAAGTATGATTGTATCACATTAAGAATCCTACTAACTTATGCATCATTATTCCATGACTGGTTATATCTAAAAAGATTTTTCTACTTAGAAAGGAAAACAATTATAAACAAACTTTTAAAGAGGACTCACTATTCACATAACTAAAAAAAAACTTTTTTTGAGACAATTATTTGCACACTTAGAAAAAAAACAGTTACTTTCCATGAGCAGTTCTGAGCAAGCTATAGAACACACCCCTCGCTAATTTGATGATTAAATAAAATTAAGTTAATCTTCATACAAAAGCTTTTTGTAAACATTATCTGATTTCCAGAAGAGTAACTTTATTCAAAGAACTTGAAGGTTGTGTCCTCCCCCACAAAAAAATCAGAAGGCCAGCGGCACAAACAAAAGATGAAAATCTTGTTGCTATGGTTACTAGAATAGTTCTCCAATCTCACCATCCCAACTTTTCCATCTGTCAAGCTCAATGTGACTAATTTGGATATTCAGTGTGAGCATTAGATAAGATACTATAAAAAGTATTATAAATATTTCTTGCAATCATTTATGTGAACTATGATAACAGTATTGTTATCTAAGCTATTTGCAGGATTTATGTTTTTAAATTGTTCAAACTGTAATAAATATGGACAGAAAATGTATTTGTGAATAAGTCAAGTATTGTTGCAAAGTTTTTTAAACAACCTAATTTGTTTAATACAGGCATATTTATTTATTTTAAGACCTTAAATAATAATACCTGTTTTAAAACATTAGAAATTTATAGGCTATCACTTTTTTTCTAAGCAGAAAAAATGTTGAGTACAACTCACCATACTTTTTCCCAGCTAAAGTGTCATATAAGGGCTACAGCTCATTTAGCATTTTTAGTATAGCCTCTGCAATCTCCGTCTCTCTCTGTCTCTCTCTATCATTTCAAACAGAACAAAATGTATATTTTAACCAGGAGAAAATTGTGTTAAATAATCTTTAACATAATACAGGGATATAAAATTTTAAATTTTCTTTTTCAATTACTTTAGATTCCTTTTAGCCTGTCTTATCCTATTTAGCAGAAGGGATGATTTTGTTTTGTCAAGGATACAACGGCATGTTAAATGCTTATTCTTGTGCAAGCATCTGACATAAAATACATCCTGTACATAAGTGTTTCCATTCAATATTAGTTACATGCTATGCTACAAACTTTATCAATGCTTTGGAAAAATGCAATCGTATAAGCTATTGTATTAAAGTTACTGTACTAAGCAACAGTAAGCATAATAAAACAATGTATCCAGTGTAATCTATAAGCAGTGTTAAAAACAGTACTGGGCGTCATGAATGTAACTGCTTGTTATAGTAATTCCATTATGCAGCTCTTGTGTGTATAACATGTACATTTTAAAATACAGTACTTGACTTTATAAAAAAAAGTTTTATTTGCTTTGGGGCATTTTAAATTGGGATATGAATTTACCAGAGTAAATGATACCACTACAATAAAAAAAAAACCTGAAACATGAACTTGAAAGTTGCATTTTATTTGAGTCTGATACATTGTATTAAGTTTATTTGTTCTGATATTATTAGCTCACTTGGGGAATGAAGAAATGTGCAAGCATGGTGGAGACAGAACAGTTTTTATACTTTTTTTTGCAAAAGAGAAGTTAAGAATGGTATAGCCGAATAAATGGTATATTCTAATTAAGAGAATCAAAATAATCCCACCATCCTGGGAAAAGTGTAACAGTAGCTATAATTTGCAAAATGTTTACTCTGCCCTTGGCACTGTACTCAGCAAAGTTGTACATGATCTCCAAACTTTACAGCAGTCCTACAAGATTTTATCCTCATTTTACGGTGAATAGAACTTAATATTCTGGAGTCTCTGACTTTTGTATATGTCAAAATACAAATACAAAAGTAAAGAATGATTCCAATTACTAATGATTATAGGATCCTAGCCCAGGCACCATCACTAATTCCCCACGTGACCAGAAAGGAATTACTTGAGTCCCCTAAGCCTCAGTGTTCACACTTGAAAACAAAGGAAAGGTGATGCTTGGCAATATTCCTACCTTGATTACAGCACAGAGTTGTTTGAAATAATATACGTGTGAAAATATTTGACAAAGCACTACTCAAATATACAATGCCATTTGGATGAAAATTGTCATTGGGAATTTGTGAGGACAGTTATAGCTGATGGTGGTGATTAAGTAATAGTTCAAAACACAAATGGTAAAGAAATTTTCCAAATTCTTCAATTGCTGCTAAATTATTCTTTCCCAGTGAGTTACCTAATTTGAACTCTTCTACCATGATAGTTTTCAAATTACAAAAGTGTTCTCTAAAGTAAAAAAAAAAAAAATGCTTAAATTAATTTGAAAGTGTCAAGTGGAAATGTATAATGGAGAGGAGGAGCCAAGATGGCAGAACAGCATGGAAGGTTTTTTGTGTGTCTCGCGTCCATGAAATACAGCCAGATCAACGCTAAGCCATCCTGCACACCTAGAAAACTGATTTGAGGATTAACATAATCTGCACAACCTAAACCCCAGAACTCAGCAGGTACGGATGCAGAGAGGTGAACTGGGGGAGAGAGAAGCCACGGAGGGCAAGGAGCCGCTTTTTCATGTAAAGAGAGGATGGAGACGGGGGGATACAGGAAAAGCACCCCCCAAAAGCAGCTGGAGAGAAAGTGGAAAAGTGGAAACAGCCTTAGGGACTGAACTAAAAAGGGAGAAAGGAGAAAGGAGAGGGTTGAAATTCTATTAAGACTCTATAGAGTCTGAAACACCACAGCTCGATACCTGGCAGTGCTCTGGTGAGAAGGGTGAATCCCCAGGAGCAGAATGAAGTCTGGAGGGTCTTCGAGCCACACAGGGAGCGGCGGTTCCCCTGCTGGGACGACACCTGGTAGAGGCTGTGTGGGTCCCCCAAAGGGAAGGGCCCAGCGGACCCGGGAGAACAACCACATTCGCTGGTGCTGGAACAAAGTTGCTGGGGGTGAAGCCCGGTGCCAGATGCACTTTGTGATTTGCCATAATCCCTGAAATGCTGCTGCTACACGATCGTGTGTGAACTTTTTCTGGGGCAGGCTGGCACCCTGCTGCAATCTCTGAGCATTGGCAGCAGCATGGTCCCATGAATGTTCCTGGGTGCAGCTGGCACCCGGCCATTGCTCGGTGAGACCCTCGGCAGAGGGGCAGAACGGGTCAAAGCCGCAGTCCCTCAGAAGAAAGGGGTCGGGAAACACAGCCGCATCTGAGATAAAACTCAGGAGGGAGGTGCTGCCTGGGGCTTGGTCATGGATAGTGTAAAAGCAGGGAGTGGATGGAAGCCGAAGACAAAGGACAGGTGCAGGGTTGCTGGTCAGGGAGAGCAGAGTTCCGATGCTAGAGACTGGGTAGCTGGGTGATGCCATTTTCACTGCTCCCGCGCATGCGCATACACACCTACGCGCAACAACAATCCACCCCAGTAAGCTAGGCAGCGCCATCTAGTGGAGAACAGAGCCATTACACTAAGCCCCACCCAACGGGGCCAATCTCACTCTTCAGGAACACAGAAGAGTGTTCTCCGCCTGCTTAGTTTATGGGCTATAAAGCACTTCATAGTTTGACTTCTAGGGGAAAATGAAGTAATTTCAATTGTATTTCAATCTGTTCGCTGATCCATCTATTCAATTTTCTTTTTTTTTCTTTTTTTCGTTTCTTTTCTTGAATACAGACACAATTTATTTTTATTTTCAATTTTTATTAAAAAGATTTTTAATTTTTTTTACTATACTTTTTACTTTTGTGTAAATTTTTTCAAATTCTATTTTACTTCCATCATTTCATTTTATTTCAGTATTCATTTTTTCAAATTTTCCAATGATTTCCTTTTTTTTTCTTTCCCCTTTTTTCTCTAATCTATCAAGCCCTTGTCAACACCCAGACCAAAACACACCTAGGATCTAGCATCATTTATTAGATTGTGTGTGTGTGTGTTTAATTTTTTAATTTTAACTTTTTAAAAATTTTTACCTCATTAATTCTTTTTCTCCCTTCAAAATGAAGAAATGAAGGAACTCACCCCAAAAGAAAGAGCAGGAAGAAACAAAAGCCAGGGGCTTAACTAACACAGATATAAGCAAGAGGTCTGAACCAGAATTTAGAATCACGATAATAAGAAAACTCGCTGGAGTCAAAAATAGATTAGAATCCTTTTCTGCAGAGATAAAAGAAGTAAAAGCTAGTCAGGATGAGATAAAAAAATGCTATAACTGAGCTGCAATCTCAAATGGATGCCAACGGCAGCAAGGATAGATGAGGCAGAGCAGAGAATCAGCGATATAGAGGAAAAACTTATGGAAAATAATGAAGCAGAAAAAAAGAGGGAGACTAAGGCAAAAGAGCACGATTTAAGAAATAGAGAAATCAGTGACTCATTTAAAAAGAACAACATCAGAATCATAGGGGTCCCAGAAGAGGAAGAGAGAGAAACAGGGATAGAAGGGTTACGTGAGCAAATCATAGCAGAAAACTTTCCTAACCTGGGGAAAGATACAGACATCAAAATCCAGGAAGCACAGAGGACTCACGTTAGAGTCAACAAAAAAACCAACCATTAACAAGTCATATCATAGTCAAATTCAC